CCTTCTTTCATGTGTTTCCTGCCCCTGTGACATGTTCTGCACACTGAGGTTGCATTTGAGTGTCTCCCAGGCCACCATCCACAAACACATCCCAAACATCTCAAGGTGAGTCATTGCCACAGATATGATTTGTTCACTCTTGCTCGTTTCATTTTCAAAAGGGGCTCTGACTCTACATTTGAGACAGTTTGATACACTGTGTGCGTGCTAAGTTCCTTCAGATGTGTCTGACTCTTTGTGACCCTATGGACTGTGGCCTGCCGATCTCCTCTGTCTATGGGATTCTCCAGCCAAGAATACTGGAGTGGGTTGCTATGCCCTCCTCTAGAGGATCTTCCTGACCCAGGGATTGAATCCACATCTCCGACTCCTGCATTGTAGGTGGGTTCTTTACCACTGAGCCACCAGGGAAGCCTTTAATGTACTGACAACTCCTCAAGGGATTTGGTGGCTCTGGGCTTATAAAGAGTTCTGCTTAGAGGTCATGAGAGTGAGATTAAACCAATTTTATTTCATAGAAGAGCCATACTATTGATTAATATATGTTAATAACTCGAGTGCTCTAGTTTTTATGCTATGTGCTAGTTATTATATTATGTGCTAGCTATTATGCTATTATAACTATGGTGCTCTAGTGCTTATGCTCTCAAGCTTCCACTATAGGGGGCCTGGGGTTCGATTCTTAGTCAGGGAACTAAGATTCTGCATGCTACATGGCCAAAATATTTTTAAAAATACTAATAACTAGCCTTTATTGAGTACTTACTATATACCAAGTACTAGACTAAGGAACGCCATTCAGGCCTCATAGAGCCTTAAGCCTTGTATTTCCATGATCTGTTTTACAGATAAAGAAACTGAGGCACAGAAAGGACGAGGATGAGCCAGAGTTCAAAGCCAGGCAGTCTGATTCTAAGCCTATCCGCTCAACTACCTCGCACAGCTCCCTCTAATGCAAAGACCCCTCACGAGGATCAGGGGTTTTATTAACATTGCCTGAAGTCTCGCAGCAAACTAGGGGCCTCACACACAATCTAGCCGCACATTAGAATCAGCTGAGAAGGCTGTAAACCACACCTAGGCCTGGAGCAAATACCATAATGGGTTATTATCTGGGGACTCTAATGAAGAGTAATGGAGAAGCCCTGCACTCTCCTTATACTATTTCTGTACCTGAAGTTTCATCAAAATTTAAAAAACAAAAAGTGAAAGTAACTAAAGAACATAGTAGGACAATATTAGCTGAACAGGAGGGATTTCTCCAGGAATTGCTGATAGCAAGAGGTGCTAATAAAACTTACTTACAAGATCCAGAAACGTGTGTGTGAGTGTTTGTGATGTGATCTCATTTATGTAAGGCAAATAGTGACAAGATACACACATACACACGTGCCTATACATCCTTGTAGGAAGATGGAATGAAATCTGTATGATACATTAAAAAAATTCTGGATCCCAGTCCCCAGCAACTCTACTTTAGTTATTTAGAGGTAGGACCTGGGCATGGGTATCTTCTGTTCAATTTCCTTAGATCAGGGTTCTTAAATTTGCTGTACATTAGACTTGTTTGGGAGATTTTCAATTAAAGTCCTGAGGCCCAGGCCATAGACCACTTAAATCAGGCTCCCGTGGGAGTGGAACCCAAACATGGGTGTTTTAAAATTCCCCCATGGCATGTCAATTGCCAAGTTTGAGAACCACACCAGGCCCTTGTGCAGCTCATGCACCCAAGGCTAGGACTCACGTCTGGGAGGGAAGAGAACTGCGGCGTGATTACAGGGTAATAGGCCCACGGGTTAGGAACTCCCAAGAGGCTGACTGCAGAGATCATATAGGGTCCCCGAGGTCACAGAGCCAGGAGATGGTGGTGCACACCCTAGTCCACAGTCCACAAGGAGGGTGATGGGCACTGCTTGGGGAAGACTTCCTTGCCTTCCCAACTCTCCTTCCCAAGATCAGGGGAGTTGAAATTCCTTCAGTAGATTCATTACTTTGTGTTCCTCCTCCTAAAAGTTATTAAAAAACAAGCAAATACTCCTGGGATGAATTGCATGTTAATAATATCTTGATGCCTACTCACTGAGTGTTGGGTGTTTTGAAGAGAGAAAAACTTAGAGGGGTGCTCAAACATGGGGAAAGCATGTCATGTAGGGGTTGACAGTCTGATTTGTTATTTTCCTGCTCATAATACCTCTGTTTCTCAGACTGACCTTATTAAAAATGCCAAGTGTTGTCATCTCACCTCCAGGCCTTTCCTGCCTTGTGGAAACTCCCAGACTCCCTCTCAAGGTGATTTGGGATGCTTCACTTAGTTGTGAAAGACAAGGGCCTGCCTCTCAGATCTGAGGCTAGCACAGAGCCAAATAATAAGGAGGCAAAAGGGGTGAGCTTTGGAAAATACTGATAGAGTTGGCGCTTTGGGGGCATCTAAATGCAGGCATGTGGCAGGAAAGCCGGCCACAGGGTCCTTGGGCTTAGGCATGGGGCTCTAGCCCAGGAGGGCTGGAGACTGGGTAGAAAGACCCCTCAGGCATGGGAGTCAGACCTCCACAGCTGGAGTCCTGCCTGCCACTTTCCAACAGTAAAATAAAGGCTTGATTGACCATCTTCTTCTCAAGGCTGCAGTGATGATTAGATATAATACAGGTAAAACACCCAGACTGTATACAGCAGGCCCTCGGCCATGTCAGTGGAACATGCCAACATTACAGGCTTGCGACGTGCACTCTGGGACCAGGGTGAGAATCAACCTTGCCCTGGTCCCTACTTTTTCAAAGTTTATTTCATTGTGGTAGGAACACTTCACATTTGATCTACCCACCTGACAGATTTTAAAGTGTATAATATGGCATGGTTAATTATAAGCAGTGTTGTGCAACAGACCTCTGGAAGTTGTTCGTCCTGCGTAGCTGAGATTTCATGATCATTGATTAGAAACTCCCCATGCCCCCACCCTCCGGCCCCTGGGGATCAGCATTCTTATCTCTCCACTGTGATGAGCTTGACAACTTTACACACTTCATATGAGCGGAATCGCGCAGTATTTGTCCTCTGACTTAGCTGTGTCTTGTCACTTAGTGAAATGTCCTGTTTCATCCATGTTGTTCCATAATGCAGGATTTCCTTCTTTTAAAATGTTTATTTATCTATCTTTTGGCCTCGAGGTATGTGGGATCTTATTTCCCCGAGCAAGGATTGAATCTGCACCCCCCTGCATTGGCAGCGTAGAGTCAGGGAAATCCTGGGATTTCCTCCTTTTTAAGGTTAGTATCTCATTGTGTGTATAGACTACATTTCTTTATCCATTTAACTGCCATGGACATTTAGGCTGTTCCCACATCTTGGCTATTGTGAACAGTGCTGCAGTGAATCTATTTCTGTTGATGAGATTTACTGAGTGCTTATTCACTGTAGGCCAGGAACTAGTCTAAATGCTTTACGTGTAATAGTGCAGGGAAAACTCGGAACAGGCCTCTGAGGTTGACACTCCTTTTATCCCCATTTTCAGGTGAAGAAACAGGCCCATTTGGTATGGCCAAAGCTCATACCACGTATAGGTTTTCACCTGGAGTTTGAACCCAGGAAATCTGGCCCTACAATCAGTGATTCTGATCACTATAATACTAATAATATTAAAATCATAATAATGATAATGATCAAAAGCAAACTATGTGTCAAGGTTATTGACAAGGTAAAGATGAGAGTTATGCATCCCAGTGACCTTGGGGACAGGATCCAGGGGGTTGCCCAAGAGATGAGTTAATTCTAGCAGTAACACTCATGACTTGGGGAACAGGGGTGGAGAGAGGGAGATGACGACTAAGAATGGGGCAGGGTGGCCCAGAGGAAAATTATCTTCTACAGCTGTGAGATTCAGCTCCATGCATCGCTTTGGTTCATGCAGTTTTCAAAGCCAGATCTTTTCCTATTTGAGTCCGATAGGAGCCTGTACAGCATTTTGCACATAGTTCCTTTTGTTACCCTCTCCCACCTATTTTCTTTTCCTCCTGATTTGTGCTTCAAAGGAACAGCTCAAGAGTCAAGGGAACAGCCCAGAGTTGGGGGCTTGTTTTCAGGTCTTTGCAAAGCTACTAATTTGTCTCCCCTCCTCCTTGTCTATTTGGTGTTGATCTAAATGACAGAACTGGTTGCGTGGTTAGGCGGTGGAGCTGGGAAAACAAACCACCAGCTCCCAAATCAACCTGAGTTCAATGGTGCTGTTTCCAGGTTAAAACTCCCAGCGGGGCTCTCTGCAGTGACACCACCACCCGGATGTCCTCAGAGCGTCTGAAAAACCACAGACCAAGTCAGGGGCAGCCAACAATCTCCACAAACTGATGAGCAGGACACAGAAGCACAATGCCATTTATTTTGCAGTGGCAAAATCAATCTACTTTTCCATAATCCTGCAATTTATTGAACTCTGCATCTCGCTGCAGGATACGCCCCCGAACTCTCCCTAATTACGTATTTGGCTGCTTGCAATCGTGACTTGGCTCTGCAGTCCTGCTAGCAGAGATCGGGCCTCTTAGAAGCCTGCAGCAGCAACAGCAGTAGCGGCAGTTTCCCGCCCTACCGAGCGCTCCCTAGTTGCAAGGTACTGCGCTAATCTTGCCACCGCGCAAGTCCCCGGGGCCGGCGGCTGCAACCTCCGTGCCGGGCGCTCGCAGCCATTGTGGTGTGGGCGCTAGACCAGCCGCGTGCTGACACTCCCTCTCGGCTCTGCGACCCGCGGCCCAGGGGAAGCGGGGGGCGGGTGCTTGGCGGAGGAGGCTCCCGCGGGGGTTGGATCTTCTCCGCACCGCCCGCGCGCCTGCCGGCTCTTCTCTGCGGCCGGCGCCCCACGCGCCTCCCGGGCACGCGCTCCCAGCCCCGCCCGCGTGCAGCGGCCGCGCGGCCCCGTGCTCGCGCCCTCCCCGCGCCTCCGCGCGGACGCAAGGCCGCGAGCGCGCGTGCGCCCCTGCGAACGTCCCCAGGAGCCGAGCTGTAGCGAGCGCCGGGGCTGGGCGCGCAGGACAGAAAAGGAGGCGGCGGCCGCGGCTGCGAGCAACAGATCAGGGCTCCGCGAGCAGACCCACTCTGCTCTTGGGCGATTTTTTTTTGTTTATTTCAGAAACATCGGTTAAATTAGAAAATCTTGCATTTTGAAATGGCGGTGGCCCCGGGTCAGCGGGCGATTTTCTCTGCTTCAAGATGGGCTTTGCCTTTTCTGTCGTGGGCACCAGTGGTGGCCTGATTGTCAGTCTTCTCCGGGCATTTTTAAGGCCAGGAGCTGAGTGCTGCCTGTAGGCGCCCTACAGAGCGGTTTGGCTTTTTAAAATTTTTAGTATTATTTTGGGCAGAGAACAGTCGATCTCTGGCATTTCGTCCTCTTTGCAGAAGAGGCTGCGAGTCGGAGGTGGGTCACTCAGAGGGTGAAATTCCTCCCGGGGTGAGCGATCCCCGGCCCCGCACACAGTCCAGGCGGCTCCGAGTGTGTGTCCTGCCCCTCTGCCCGCGCCGGGAAAATGGAGGCTGTGATTGAGAAGGAATGCAGCGCGCTCGGAGGCCTCTTCCAGACCATCATTAGCGACATGAAGGTAGGACGCTGGGTGAGCGGCTGCGGCCGCCGCTACGCTCTGACCTCGCTGCGCGGCTTCGCCTCCGCCCCGGGCCAGCCGCCCGGCCCTTGCCTGCGCCGTGGCCGCCGGCCACCTGCGAGAGCGCTCCGGCCCGGGTGTCACCTGCTCACCCGGGGCGCCGCTCCGGGTTCTGCTGGGTCACCTAGCGGGCGGCTTCTCTAGGTGGGGGTGGGGGAATGGTATCTGATGGTCGCTGCCCTCTCCCGCTCATTGTCCCAGGGGACCGCATCATCTTATTTCCCTGGGGGCCCGGGGCCCTGGCTCCAAGTTTTCCATTGTCTGTCGCTGTTCTGAGTGTCTGCGACCCGCAGGGGGTGGATGCTTGGGCGGACACCTGATTCCCCGGGGTACGGGAGGGGGCGCCTGGCGCGGTGGTGGGGAGAGGGAAGGGGCTCTGCCCAGCTGTGGGAAGGAGCCCCCCAGCCCGAGAGACTGGGAGGGAGACCTCCCTCTTCCTCGTGGGCTTTCAGGTCCACCTGGGGGCGATCTGAGCAAATTAGGCATTAATTAGGCTCTTCCAAAGCTGGTAAGGGTTTGCGTGCCTCCCCTCGGCCTCCCCTGGGGCGTGGAGCAGAAGTTCCCAGAGCAGTCTTGCGGGGGACCCCACGTCCCCAGACTGAGGCTCTCAGCCCGAAGGCGGCACTGGGGCACCTTAAACAACTGTATCCCCCACCCGCCTAACGCGCAGACACCAGGTTTTCTCTTGGAAGGATTGTGAAGTGTGTGTGTGTGTGTGTGTGTGTGTGTGTGTGCGCGCGCGCGCGCGCGCGGGAGTGTGTGTGATGGGGGCGGGGAACAACACCCAGGCTTTTTCCTGCGAAGGGTGGGACTGGGGATAACCTGATCCTTGAATGTGGATTTTCTGTGCATAGAGATAGACCAGGGCCCTGTGTTACTAATCTAAAGGAAATATAACCAGCCGCACGAGCTGGCTGGAGGTGGGAATTGGGGGCGGTGGGGGGAATTTTTTTTTTTTCCATGTGTATTTAGGGAGCTTCTCTTTGGCTCTAGCCCAGCCCCAGTTTGCCTCAACGGATCCGGGGAGGTGGTGTTTAATTAAAAGCTCGGCTTCCAAAACGAGTGGGCAGGTTTGGAAAGCTGTGCAGCGAGTGGGTGTGGACAGCCCCTCTTCAGCCGCTGCCTGCGCGCCTGGAGGTGCTTTTGTCTGTTGAAATGTAAGGTTTGGAGAGGACTGGGAGATGGACTTTGGGAAGGAATGCTCAGCTGTCATGGCCTGTTTTCCCCTCTTAGCGCCAACTGCCACTCAGCCAGGGTGAACTTTGCCAAGGTGCCTGCGTCCTGGTCTGATCCATTTTGAAATCCTCCTGCAGAGCCTGTGCCTTTTGTCAGAAATTGACATTCGTGGAGCATTCTGTTCAGCGACCCCGCTTGCTCAGGAATGCCTCTAATCCAGCCCCTTGGAATTAGATGGATTATGTCCTGTTAAAAGACAGCCCTTTCATTCCTTTGCCCCCAGCCCCCATTGAATAATTGAGACAAAGCTTGGTTCCCTCGGTAGACTTTGGGATATTTCTTGTTAAGTGAAATCTACAGGCCTTGTAATCAAACAAGATTTGGTTGGAGGCACATGGGGATTCTGATCACCAGGGGAAGAGTTTGAGATGGGTTGGGAGAACTGCCTTTGTGTTCTGGAGGAGAGAAATGGGTGTTTCTAGTCCCTCTGTATAATAAAGGCCCAGTGACCTGACCCATGTCCCCACTGCAGTCTCAGTGTGTTCACACCTGATTTTTTTCTCCTCTTTGTTCATTAATCCAGAATCCAGGCTCCGTTCTTATGGGTTGAAACCCAAAGCCCTTCAGAAAGTAACCCACTTCAGGGCGGGCGCCCATGCTTTCCACCTGGTGTCTCCTGGCTGCCCTGCAGTACTTTCTGGCCGGGGAGGCCAATTTGTGGGTGCTAAGGTGGTGTACTTCTTCCACAAGATTCCAGTTAAAAATAAAGACTTACTTAATACCCTTTGAGTGCTGGATCTGTAGTTTACGGTTCCTCCGCTCTTTCTCTGAATTGAGTCAGGTTTGTTCAACATCCTGTTGGGAAGGCATTTATTTTAAAGGTTTATTTTGTTTTGGCAGTCAGAGGTTTTCGAAGTGAAGTGGAGTGGAAGATGAAAACATGCCTTGGGATCTGCAGAATTTCAGACTTTTGGGGAGTAGAGAAATAAGGGGAAAAGGGGGGGGTGTCTAATTTCCATGATTGTTTATGCCTAAGACAGTTGCAGAGTGTTTTTCATGGAGTTTTCTTTGGAAAAGACTTCTTCGTGGATTAGAAGGCAGTGACATTTTAAAGGGAAATTTTAAAATTTGGGCGTGTAGCCTTGTGTGGTATGCTTATGCACGAAGTTGTCAGCAATAAAAATCACTGTTTAATATCTGAAGTGGGCTGTCTTTCTAAGGACCTGCTTATCCTCCTTTTTTCTTGAACTCCCACGATAGGTTTACGCCGCTTGTGGTCCCCTTTCTGTTTTCTGTGAAGGACACATGTACGTTTTGGAAGCTCATTTGGAATGCCATCTTGAGAACATTTTTAGGTTATTTTCTCAGAAGTGATGTTGAAGTGGGGTGAGGAAAGAGTAAGGAAAAAAATTTTTGTTTTAAAGTAGCATTTGATTCTCCAAAATGCACAGCAACACAGGAAGGGAGTCAATTTCCTCTTTGGAGGAAAAAAAAAAAAAGAAAACAACAGAAAATGGAGTAATTTCAAGGCTTACCCCATCCATCTTCCCAAACCAAAGAACCTCAAGACATGGAAAAGCTGGGGAGGATTCTTTCTGTTTTCTTCTAACAATCCTTCATCTGGCTAAGTCCTGGGCTTTCAGGGTGTGTGGTTTATCCTTTTCAGGGGGATGGGAGCAGTGAAGAAACCCTTAGTTTTCTTCCACTGGGATCCCACAGCAGCTGTTAAATAACTTATTGATTCCTTGAGAGGAAACCTTGTGTTTTTTCCCTTTCTTCCACCCTACTCTGGTGGCCACGAATGAATGGTAGTGTGCAAAATCGCTTACTGGCTGCCTTTCCACATAAATCAAGTCGTCTGATGTGAGCTGGTCCCAGAGGGAAGGAGAGACAGGATTCATGTGGCTGGAGGCATGGGCTCATCGGCGGTTCATCTAGGGGAACTGTAGCTTGGAAGCGACTGTGGAAGACCAGATGACTGACTTCTGGTGTTTCAGCCCTGTCGACTACATTGGTTGATCCTGAAATCTTTTTGGAATTTCTCTCCAAGTCCCAAGAAACAAAGCTAATGCTTCAAACAGCACATATGTGCCATTGCTTTCCTTAAAATTGAGCTGTGACACATAACATTAGTTTCAGGTGTACAACATACTGATCTGAGATTTGTATTTGAAAATCTTTTTAGTTAAGTAATTGAACCGGCATGTAGAATTCAGTGATGTTTGGAGAGCTTCTAAGACCAGGAGACCCTGGCCAAACTTGAGGTCAGTTCACTCTGTTGATGTCTGTCTTCTTTTAATAATTAACTTAGTTAAAAAAGCAAGAAGTTGGATGCTAAAATCACATATTTTCCTCTGCTTTGTTGCTCAAGAGTCAGCATGTTAGGAGCTGTGTGGGGCCCGAATGCAGGGAGAACTTTGTACTGGGCTGGAGAGAGTGTTTGGGGTTATATAATGTGACTGGGGGTGAAAGAATACCTAACCCCACCTTGAATTCCCCACCCCACGTCTCACTTTAGACAAGGGTGTCCTGTTACCAGCACCTGTGCCAAGCAGAATAGGGGCCTTGTTCAGTTTTCTTACACTGCCCGCCACCTCTGTTTGCCACCAGTATGCTCCCCTCCTAAATTCTACATAAAATTAGACCTGCTAACGGGACTTCTTGAATTCCATGGAAATCTTCTGTGGTTCGAAGACACATCATGATATTTTCCCTTACTTATCACAAGATCAAGAATGTGAACAGTGGATCCAGGGCTGGATAATGATTTCAGGGTTTTCTCCCCCACCCCTCTTACTGTTTTGTTTTGGGCTTGCTGTCAGACAGAGGTTCACTTCCTCAGTGTTTGTTGAAGACCTGCTGTGTGGAAGGCCTTTTGCTGGGCGGTGAGGAGCCAAGGCGGCCCTTGGAGACCTGCTTGTCCAGTACAGTTCCATATGGTGGCCATGAAGGAGGGGCTGGTCGCCCAGCCTGGGGAAGGACATTGGTCAGCCCCTGTCGAACTTCCTTTTGACTCTTTCCAAAGAAGGGATAAAAACAAGTTTTCTCTAGAAAGATACTGAAAGTCCAGCCAAGGCCTCCAGCAGTGGCCCGGTCTCTGAGTGAGGTGGGCTGCTCTGTAAATGGTGACATGCAAAGACAGACGAGCCAAGCCCTTGTAAAGTACAGATGGGCCCCACATTGCTTTTTCTCTTAGCAAATGGCTGTGTTTGCCCAGGCTTTTACAGCTTCCTCAGTGTAGGCCTCTGGGAGAGGGAGGAGAAGTGAAGATGTCATAAAACCGGCAGCAGGGAACTGCCCGGAATGGTGCCTGTTCAGAGATACAGGGTTTGCTCTCTGTAGATCAATCTCCTAGGGTTTTCAGGTGTAATTTTTCTTGTCCCGGTTTGAGAAGAAGTCTTTATTTTTTGGTCTTGGCTTGAGTGACTCAGTGGGGAGAAGCCCTTATGCATCATATTTAACCAGATTGTTTAGAACTTGTTTGATTCTGTGAACCTTGATATTCTGAGATCCTAGTTGATAATGCCCCAGTTGAGAGGAGATCATTCCTAGTCACAGTTTGCATGGACGGTAGGCTGACTTTGAATTTTGCCCAGTTCAGCTATCACTTAGTTCTTTCTTTTTTCCTATTTTTATTTATATTTTTTTAAGAGAGTGATTTTATTTACTTTATGGCCTTGCCATGTGGTATGTGGGATATTCCTGACCAGGGATCGAACCCATGTCCCCTAAGTGGAAGTGTGGAGACTTAACCACTGAACTGC